TTAGAATTTTGATTTTATGTAACAATTCCTCATTTCTTTGTTTCCTATTGTTTCTTGTGTTAGTAATTTCATTTTTTTTCCTTTCTCAATAATTAATATTTACAGGATGGTGTGAACTAAAGAACCTTGAAGAGTTAGATTTAAGTGGAAATAATTTTCAAGGAATGCTTCCTTCTTGTCTGGGAAACTTGTCATATCTTCAAGTGTTGGATGTATCATCTAACCATTTCATAGGAAATATTGCCACTGGCCCTCTTACTAACCTGAAATCACTTGAATATCTCTCATTTTCAAATAACAACTTTCAAGTCCCAATTTCCTTTTCGATGTTTGCTAACCACTCCAAGCTTAAGGTCCTTATTGGTGATGCCAACAATTTAGTGCCAGAACCTTTCCTTCAAACTCCAACTCCAAAGTTCCAACTCATATTTTTGAGTTTGTCTTACCTTGCATTAAAAGAACCTCCCTACTTCCTCCATCACCAAAATATCCTTAGGGTTGTTGATTTCTCCCACAACAATATCACTGGAGGATTACCATCTTGGTTGTTCATGAACAACACAGCATTAGAAGGACTCTATCTAGGATATAACTGCATTTCAGGACCTTTGCAATTGCCTACACAACGTCATTTCAACATTGCAATCTTAGATGTATCCAGCAATAGTTTACTGGGAAATCTTCCTATAAACATGAGTTCAGTCTTTCCCCACCTTAAAACCTTAATCATGTCTAAAAATTCATTTCAAGGTCAGATTCCTATTTCTTTTGGTGATATGAAATCATTAGAATCTTTAAGCTTGCCAAACAATCTTATCTCCGGGAATATCCCTGATTCCTTTGGTCGTTTGAGCTCTTTAATCTATTTGGACTTGTCCAACAACCAGTTGTCTGGAGGAATACCAAAACTTCTTGTCCTGGGTTGCCCCTTGTATGTTCTGAGATTGTCAAATAATAATTTGGAGGGGCAAGTATTTCCTCTTCTTTTCAATTTAACAGGGTTATTGGTCTTAAAAATAGACGCTAATAACTTTGTAGGAGAGATACCTGTGTTTTCATCTACCAACTCTTTTAATCCACAAACTATCGACATGAGCAACAACCATATCTCAGGCAAGCTTCCAAGATGGATGGGAAATATATCAAACTTGGAAGGGCTGTCTTTGGCCAAAAATCATTTTAAGGGTCCTTTCCCAGTAGAATTTTGTGGCCTTCATAACCTTGTATTTCTTGACCTCTCAGACAACTACTTGTTTGGCTTTATCCCGGAATGTTTTAATTCAATTCCAATAGAATATGTTCATCTAAGCAATAATAGATTGACCGGGCCATTAACAAAAGCATTCTCTAACTGCTCTTCTCTTGAGACACTAGACCTCACAAGGAACAATCTAATTGGTATAATTCCTGGTTGGATCGGTAGCCTACCTTTATTGAGCATTCTTTTGTTGAAAGCTAATCGTTTTGAAGGTGAAATTCCTATTCAACTATGTCAGTTGAACAAATTAAAGATGATGGATCTTTCTCAAAATAATCTTTCTGGTTCAATACCTTCCTGTTTGACTAATTTTACATTTGAGGCATTAGGATATTCAAATAAGATTTCTTATTGGACAATTGGATTTGGAGGATTAGAAATGATATTTTCATTAGTAGAAATGTCAAGGAAAAAGCTGGCAGAGGATGGGATCGACCTTGCAAAATATGGATATGAGGTCATTGAAATGGAGTATTGGGTAGAGTTTACAACAAAGAGTATGTCATATGTTTACAATGGAAGCATCCTTCGTTACATGTCTGGTATTGATTTATCTTGCAACTGTCTCACAGGAAGGATCCCATTTGAAATTGGATATTTGAATGAGATCCATGCACTAAACATGTCACACAACAAGCTAACAGGACCAATTCCCACTACATTTTCAAACTTGAAACAGATTGAAAGTTTGGACCTTTCCTATAACAATTTGAATGGGAGAATCCCTCCTCAGTTGACTGAGCTAAACACTCTGGCTGTGTTTTCTGTTGCATACAACAATTTATCAGGACCAACCCCTGATCAAAAAGCTCAATTTGGTACCTTTGATGAAAGTAGCTATGAAGGAAATCCTTTCCTCTGTGGAGCTCCACTGCAGATCAATTGCACCAAAATTGAATCACCATCTGTTTTGACCAATGTTTACTATTATGACAAGGAAAATAATGGTTTGATTGACATGAGTGTTTTTTACTGGAGCTTTGTGGTAACTTATGTTGTAGTATTGATGGCAATTGCAGCAATTCTGCACATAAGTCCTTATTGGAGACGAGCATGGTTTTACTTCATTGAAGTCTGTATCACCTCTTGTTACTACTTTGTTCTAGACAAGTTTTGTTAGTTTTCCAAAAGAATCATCTAAACTTTGTAGAGTCAAGACTCAAGAGAGACTTTAAGAATCAGAGTTGTAAGAGAAAATGAATATTCAAGAGGTAGCCTTTGATTCAAATAATCTTAATACAAACTTTGATTTTGAAGTTTCCCACTAAGAAAGTTCATCATAGTAAAACATGCATCTACATCAATCCCACCAAATGTCATTTATTGGCAAATAATGACAACATTTACAAATTTGGCCTAAAAATGACAACGTTTACAAATAAAGGTCATGTACAAAATGTTGTAGTTTTGTTCTAAGAGAATATGGAGGCCACAAAAGGACTCTTATCTTCAAAGCATTAACGAAAGGAAGAAAAAAAAAAAAATCTACTCAAACTCCATGTGGCTTTTATCAAGTAATCGTGCTAAGGATGCCAAAGTAGCATTGGTATGACCACTCCTGTCTGCATATTGTAAAAGGTATTAGAAAGTAGGGTCAATAGTGTCTCACTCTTACACGTGAAGCATGTATCTTTAGCTTTTAACCAACATGAGAGAATTATGCCTTCACATACGTAGGTCCTGGATTTTTTTCATCTCAACTCATGTGTTAATTATAATTTACATAATTATGTCATCTAGGTTTGTAAGGTTTTATACTGAGAGATTAATATTGGGGGTTCTTGTTTTAAATTTTCGTTTTATTTGTAGGCTAAAAAAAATATTTTCTTCATTTTTTTAAAAAAATATGTATATATATATATATATATTTTTGTTTTCATTTTCAATAAATTTTATTTTGTTGGGTTCTGAACTCTATTTGGTAACCATTTTTCGGGCCGAAGCGGCAATGCGTCTCTTCTTAATTACTTGAGCAAACCAATTCAGTTTCTTCTACCCGGCCCGACTAGTGTCTCTTTTGTTTGGGCCAATTTTGGCCCATATTTAAGGACACACGTTTTGCAATATGCATTGCACAAAGGCTCCGTTTTAGAAAAATGGCTCATAGCCATCCACGACCAGCAAGACTTTCAAAATTTAGAAACGCAGGAGAGCCGAGTTGCACGGCACATTTTTCCCGCTAAAACCGCAATCCTCTTCTCCATTTTTGTGTTTTTTTTTTTTTTCTCTTTTATAACACACCCCATAAAACGCAAAATAGACGCTCTCTCTCTCATCCTCTTTACTAATTGGAAGACAAAGCCTCGAATTTTTCCAGAAATCGGAAATCAACGACGCTCAGTTTATCGACAATTTCTTGGATAATGCCGGCTATCACTAGCCGCAACTCGTCTCCATTCAAGAAGATCGTGACCTTCAAATCGGAGTGGAGCGGGGGGACTTGTAGAGATCTGAAGCAAATTCCACTTCTGGCAAACAAAGATTAACATTTTTCGATGTGGCGGTGGCGCAAGAAGGCCCTATCTCCACTCCGATAAAGTTGAAATCACTTTGCGGATGCAGGAATTCTAGTCCAAACAACCCTTCAGATGTCAGTTTTCTTTCTATATCCTAATATTCGATGCTTTGATTTTATTCTTGTCAAAATTGGTCTAATTAAGCAGATTTTTAGTCTTTTTTTTTTCTCCCTGTAAATTAAGCTTAATTGCTCATGGACTTTTTTTTCTTTTTCTTTTGCCTTCACCAAGGAATTAGGAATTAGGAATCAGGAATGACAAATTAAAAAAGGCATTATCAATAAATTTTAAAAATAAAAACATATCTTTAATGTGCTAAAATAAAATTCAAATGATTAATTACAAATCGTGTAACTTCCATGATTAGAATGGAAAAAAAAAAAAAAAATTAAAGCTCATTATATTGAGGTTCGCTGTCCCCATCTTGAGTTTGTCCCTCTCTTCTAATAAGAATGTCTTGAACACTTGATAGGCACGGACAACAGGGGCAGTCGAGGCAGCAGTGCCTTGCGCGGTGTTGCATGCTTTGCTACTATTGAAAATTATGCATGTGAGTTTAACACAAAACTTGCATCCAAGTTAAAATCAATTGGTTATAGGTGGAGTAACCTTCCTTATATTTAACCCACAAGTTTTTTATTTTTATACTCGACATAAGATTTTTCCACTTAACAGCTACTCGGATCCAAAGAGGTGATGTTTACTAAATTCATCAGGGAACTATACTACTGCAATTTAATGTAATCGCAATTTTATCTGCAGAAGTTCCTTGAAAATTGTTAAATGTTACATCACTTATTGTTACTGCAGTTCCCTGTTAATTAGAAAAATATATATCAATGTTTAATTAATTAAGTAAAACTAATATTTATATATTTTAATAAAAATATAATATATTTTTTACCTTTTCAGGTGGACAACTTTGGTGTGGACAACAATGTTGATCAATAAATACGGGGTTGCCCGTTCCTATAAGAATAATGTCCTCGTATGATACGTAAAACAAAAGAAAGTTATTTTAGATATTGAGGAATAGATTTCAAGTTATTATCTATATATGAAGAAGAAAATTTATTCCCCATGTCTTTATCCTTGCTCCATTCTGAGTTCCATTAAATGCACAATTACGAACATGCACCTCTTCCACCATATCATTGGATCCATCTTTTCCAAGGCTTCCCACACTACAAAATACACGTACAGTACAATTAATCACACAAAATTAGACATGTACAAAATACCATGTCATTGGATTTGAACGGTTGTCGATTTGCAGGGTCCAGAGAATTTGACTTGTTTCAACAAGAAGGTCTTGCCTATCGGAACCTGCAGAGTTGGGATGGTGGCTCCACTTGTAGTAGTGGCCTCACAAACACGTCTCCACCAATCCAAGAAAGCCTTGAATGTACATATAATACAAGATATATACATACAGTTAATTAGAAAAATTTTAATGAACATATATGTATATATAGATCATATATATTAGATATTTAATTATATATACATTTGAGTCATCAGTTCGAGCATCTCCAACAGCCCCAAAACTCAAGACGTTGAAGAGTTGGCTTTTACCTTGGCTAAAGGTGCCAAGCAGGAAGACGAGAGTAATTAAGAATCGAATCTGTACGGATAAACATATACAACAACAAAAATCAATCAATTAAGACAGTCAAAGTACAATCCTATTGCCAAGAAGACTAGTATTTCACCAATTAACAAAAATTTAAGACAACGAATACGGTCTGAACTAAGTTGAGAAGGTGTTGAACCAAGTTTGAAGAACAGGAAGAAGAAACTTAGAAAGAAGAACGTCGCTAATTGTAAGCAGAAGTACTAAAGAAGAGAGCTATATATACCATTATGAAGAATGAACAGTTAGCTATTTGTGTAGTACGTAGTTGTAGTGTCTTATCTTGCAATGGATATATGGATGTGTGTAAGAATTGTTGGCTTTATATAGTGATGGGAGTGGTATGTATTTTTGGAAAGTTCAATTTATTGTCGAAATTGAACTTCAAACTCAATCAGTAATAGTATTTACAAATTAAATTTTTTTTCTTATTAACTATTGTCATAATTAAAATAGTACTGTCATAATTATTAATTAAGACAATACGATTTTAATTTTAAGTCTTCTATTTTAGCAATAATAGTTTAGTCCAGATTCAATTACTGTGTAATAATCCTTTTATAGATTTTATGACAAGCTAAAAGGTGGTTGCAAGATTTTCCTTAAAGACATAATTAATGGTTCGCAATTCCTAATGGTAGTAATTACATGTACTCCTAATTCAAATTTATTTAGGAATATAGAGTTTATGATCCCTAATTAGTAGGAATTACATGTAC